ATGTCCCCATTGACAACCGCGGAGATTTTGAATGCCGCCAAGCGGATCAAAAGAAGAAAGGCGTTTAAAAAAACAGTATTCCCTTCCGGGGAATACTGTCTAGACTAAACAGTATTTCCCTGAGGCAATAGAAATTTCCTTCAAGGAGTAGACGTTGTTGGAAGGATCGTCAGCGAAGACGAATTGTTAAGTCGTGTTGATACCAAACAGCAATAGTAAGTATACTCCGTTCTGCTTGATCAGCATTGTCGCCAAAGCTTCGAAGCCATGATAAAAGAACGACTTTAGAAATTGTAAGAAGACTCTGATTTGCTCTCAGACGCCCAGCATAGATTCAGAAAGCGCCACTCGACGCATGTCGCTATCCAACGTGTGGTTTAAAAAATCAAACTGGTCCACAGCTTCATGCTGGAGATACGTGAGATCTTTTTGACAGTACTTCCGGCTATATAAAATAGTCTTCCGTTTCTCTGGGTACCATAGTGACGATGTCTACGCATCTGGTCCGGATCATCTCCAACTAATTGCAAAACACAAGCACGAAGACCTTCATTATAATGAAGGCGGACGTCCCACAAAGTCCTATTTTTAACCCTCTCTTGTTGAATATAATACATGATGAAGGTATGGAGACATTGGCACACACGGATGATGCAGCCATCACCGTTTAGGTCAAGTCCGCGTTAGAAACGGAATTGTACGGTAACGAGATTCACAGCGCTCCTTCAAACTGTACATTATATTTCAGGTCTCAAACTGGCCTTGGATAAAAGAGATTCTACTAAAAGAGAAGCAAGGTCAGTAAATTCGCGCTTCAATGGCAGAAAAGTCAAGACAATAAACGAATAGAGATATTTTAGTGCGCACCTGAACGTATCATTCAATGGCAGACTACATATCAAGACGGCTACAACCAAAGCAAATAGAGAAGCGAACTCGACAGCTAGAATTCTCCAGAACATAAATGGACCTGGAGGAGCAAGTCAGTGCAGACTGCCGATATCTGCCACAAAGTCGATAGTGCTCTCTGGGACGTAGGTATGAATGATAAAGGCAATGGCCGCAAAAGCAAGCAGGAAACTTCTCTGAAAGTCACAGCTTGACTGCGGTATGTATCGCGTAAGCCTTCCGTACAGCTAGTACAACTATTGCATTGGTTTTGGCCAAAATCTTACCCCTGGACCTCGGGGTCAAGAAGAGGTAACAACTGTGGAAGTGAGATGTTAGAAATAAACGGGTGAGGGAAGAATGCCGCAATAGCACACAGACAGAATGAGTGCGCAGCCACCGGTTCAGACATGTCCGAGACCTTATACCAAACGTCCAGAAACTGATTAGGTCGCACGAAGGGTGAGATTAATCATTTTTTCACCCAGATATAACGAAAAGCATATGAAGACTCTTAAGACTATTTCCTCAAAGTCAGTAAAACCCCGTCAAGTTGGGTGCAGATGATGATACAACACACTTTATCAATGTACCAGTCCCTCAAAGAAGCCAGAACCGCAGCGCAAGAGAAGGTAGCGGCGAGAAAGGCCCGCGACCATGATTCAAGAAGAAACATCTTTCCAAATATACCAAGGGACGACATGAAACAATTCGTGCATCTCATATGCGTCTCGACAACCGGCTTGGAGATAGATTTGATTGCGGCTGAAAGAGAAAGGACGACTCAAAAGACTGAGAAAGATGAGAAGTTGCACAGAGGATGCGAACGACGTAGTGACAGATCAGGTTCGTAGGTTATGAGGCACAGCGCGTCTAGTAAAAAGGGGAATCTAGAAAATGGCTTTGACCGATGAGCACAAGCCCTCACCGGTAACGAAGATTTGGGTCTAAATGAGAGGGTGAAGTTTGAAAGGGGAAACAGCATTAGTGAGTGTAAGTTCTACAATATCGGTTCTGTTTGGTCTGGGTAAGCCACTTGAGCTCTAAATATCCAAAAAAAGTCTAATAGGCAAACACATTATTACTGCGCTAGCATGGGGTCAAGGGAACGAGGCATGGGATCTATGAAGGGGGATGAGCTGAAGTTGTAGTAAGGTCTTCCTAGCGAAGCTTAACTTAGCAAGATACTGTGCACTCTTGCTGCTGTTTGTTGTAACTCCGACCCTGGCTTAGCTATGAAAGATAGAGCAGAGTAGATTATGCCCAACGTTCATTTCGTCGCTTCCCGATCTGATGTTACTCTATTCATACAAACGCTGTTAGGCCAATGCCTGCCGAAGCGTGAGATCCACATAAATCGAGTCAGCTACTGTGCTCCCCGGTGACTGCAGTCAAAGGTGCAGCAGAAACAGCCAAAACGGCAATAGTACTAGTAGGTTTGTCTACTACGTTTACGGCGATACCGGAGGTAAAACTCGAACCGTCGGGGAGGTCTATCTATTTATCAATGGCCAGTACTGGCCACGTGCGTCAAAGAGATACAAAATTTCTGTTGAAATTTCGACAGCAAGCCGCCCATACAACATGGTAATTGCAAACGTAATATTGCCAGACAGCATATATGGGCAAAACGCACCCTAACATAGAACGCGTTAATACACATGGGGCAACCCCACATTGGACGCGAACAAGAGACACTAACAATAACAGTAATGGCACTTTGGTGATCCCATCGATTACATTATCTACCTGAACTTTGAATAAACTAACACTGGTATAATATAATGTAACGTTTGTCATATACACTAATTTAACGTCTATTATTTACGCGGACAAAGAATTATGATTAATGACTTATCATTACAAAACGATGAGGGCTCCAAACCCACTTTTTCGTCTTATTATCATTATTATGTTCATTATTACTATCAATTGAAATTAAAAATGCAGTACATCTTTATAGTCCCATCGTCAATTTACTGCAAAGAACTGAATTTCCCATTTGTTTCACATATCGCGAATATCCTACACTTTACTAGTGCAAATCAAACGCCACTGTACTACGCCGCCATTAAGAATAGTTAGGAAAAAAAACAAATAGAAGAAGTTATATAGGGCTCGGTGTAGGGCAAATAGGACTGGCATATTTAAGGCGTCGCTTTGAAGAGAGCCCCACAGAGGGGTGTCAATAAAAAAGTGTTTTATTTATTCATAGATATGATAGTAGAATGTAATGATGCTAGTCATAGTAGTAACCATACATAAGCGTTCGCGAATCTGCTGTATGTAGACTCTCCAAATAAATCACCCATCTACCTCTATTGAAGCCAAGGACGTGGGCGGAGGTTTGTGGGAGATGTGATGAGGATCGTGTATTATTCATATGAGAAGGATGAAAAAACGAGTGACAGAAAAAGCGAGAGGGCGACTTGGTCTTATAGCTAGGCTTGGAGATAGTGGACTCCCGTTCTAAGACCCATTTGAAAAAGACTATACAACCTCACAGTTGTGTGTGTCTGTTTACTTTTCCGTCATGCAGCAAAACAGTCCAAGCTTCTTAAATTATTCTTTTTTTTTTTTGTCATGTAATTTCGTGATATAACGCCCGAGACATTCGGCTATAGTAGACCATGTACATACAATTAGGCGACTGTACACATTTTGTCATGCTTTATAAAATATGTTAGTGTGTACATTATATAAAAAGAGTCATAAATGTTTTTCAAATTGTAAGGCAAATCGTTTGCATCAAGTGTTATTTGGATTTGATGTATATAACAGAACTGGGTCAAACCATTCACAAGTAATGTCAGTTGGTCATACAACTTGTAATGGGCTAATCATTCAATGCAATATTACCATCGCCACCGTGCCCCATTTGGCCATATATGCTTTCGCAAGTGCGTCTCCACATTGGGGCGCAATGTAAACCTGTTCTTCATAGATTTCAGTGAAGAACTAAGGTGAGTCTAATAACGCCATTAGCCCGCTCTTGGATGATCCCGTAGTGATTTCTCACGATTCAGATCAGAGATCGTTCAATATATCTGTAGTAGACGCTGAAAGTCAGCCGCGATTTAAAACCGTACATTCGTCTTATGGTTTGATGGTTCGACGGTCTTATGTGTACTAAATAGCTATCACTGCCTAAAGGACAAAACTGGCCAATGGTACTAAGAAAATGCGAGCGATAAGAAAACGATGTGCTAACGTATGTAAATTTAAGCTGCCAAATCAAGGGGTGTCGATGCTTCATGTATGCATAGATATGCATATGCACATCTATGGGGTGACCGTGTACTACGTGTGTCTGTATGCATTATATGTAATTTGTAATTTTGTGCTCAAAAATGACTTATTTGTTAAGCTGTATTAATTACGGCTTACAGTTATGAAACTTGCTCAGCTCTGTTTTTCAGTTAGTGTCCTTTATCCGTCTATATTCTTGTCATATACTCATGAACTAATCTCGATTGCGTTCAGCCCAGGAGCTCGAGAAAACGGTGACGCCAACGCGAACCCCGGGAAGCGGCATGGCGGAAGGCGGCCTGAAGGGAGGATTCCCAGGGTGACATTCTATTCGCCTTACGCTTGTCCGCATTTAACGCACAAAACGGGCCGCCTCTTTTACGAAGAACAGATCAGTAGAAAGAAGTTTCCAGACCATAGAGCATTTCGCGAAACGCAGTGATGCCTGTGCAAGACGTTTGTATGAGGCTAGGTACAGGTAATGAAAGAAGAGCGATTGGCTTCCGTTACACGCCTTGCGCTAATTGCGACTTTCAAAAAAGTTATAACAATAATATCAGTTATAGTTACACTGGTAATTTCTTCTTCAAAAATAATCTTCAGGCCAATAGCAACAACCGGAACTTCACTCTTTGGGCAAAGCGCTACATAGGGCAGTGCACTGCAATCAGTAACAATTGTTGAGAGTTGATAAGAACCGCTTTTCCACCGTAATTATATAACTGTATATGTAAAAATAAATAGTAAATAAATAATAAATAAAATAAAATCATAAATAGCAGCTACTAACAATGGTTACTATTATGCTAAATTATCCTTATTTCTAATATCTCCTTATTTTTTTTTGTATTGATCAATTTCAGGGCTTCCGGTGGACGTGGGGGTCACAATGCAAATCATCAGTATCAGCACCGTCTCCGAAGTCCAAATGGTAACATAATTTCATAAATGATTGTATTTATGTGATATCTGGGCTTCTTCTTTCAGATATGAGCGAAGATATTTATACAGATATAGCGAAGATACTGGGAGCGAACACCCAGAGCTATATGCCCATATAGCCCTTGCATAATAGGGCCTAAATATGAGGCTCGCTACTACTGATGTTAATGGGAGACTATACACTAAATCACTATCTATGGGCATTTCCTAGTTTTCTGAGTAATGTACTTAAGCAAACAATATTTATTGCTGCGAAGAGCGCCTATATCCACAATGGGACAATACATTGACAGGTCCAAATGTACGTACATATAGCCATATGTATATTGAAGACAGGATGATGTGTTTTCGTGAATGTTTCACCCCAGAATAGCGAGCACCCCGATCAACAATAGCTCTGAATGCAGGCTATACCTAGTGGGCACACTAATTGGCAAAGTGCAACGAGTTGAAGAGGAGTGTAAATAATCCGATATAAAATCCAAAGCGTTTCTACAGGCTATCTACCAAATTGGCGTACTGATTATAGGTTGAAACACATTCTAGGGAAATCTAAGCTTGAACGTGAAACTACGTTGCGATGGATTCGGATAAGCTGTAAAACACCACCAATGTTTTTACCAGTATACTATGTGTATGATTAAACATATTTAGCTTATATCTCATTCTCGTTACTAATTTACATTACTATACATCAGTCTCAAATGCTCAATCAATGTTAAACTCTTAAAATATTCACTAGCCAGTTAATAGTTTGACCGGCTTATTCTGTTTGCATTCGTCCATTACGAGCTAGCAGCCTGTTTGAATTAACGTATTAATAAATGTGCCTAAGCAGACGACAGTGAACAACGTCTTCTACAAATGTAAACATTGCAGAACATCACATATAAATCGTTCCGACTTTTAGTCGTGTAAAAATTTAAAGCCTGAAGTAAGGTGTGGCTTACGATCGGGCAGCAGACTTCCCCATAATGGTACAGGGCTGACTTGTTTGCCTCCTGAACGGCTCGAATCCGGACGTGGACACACCTCGTTTTGAGCCAACGGCTTCAAATTACGCCTAAAGGCTTAAGTACCCGACATAAAACACGAAAAACATTTTTATTTACAATCCAGCAGTGAATTGCCGATTAACTAAAAGGACTTGATTTTTACTGTACATCTATAAATAATATACGGTCAGTTTGAGGGTGAATGATCCAGGTTTGGATATCTCCAATAATTCATGTTTCTGATGCCACTTGTTTAGTTCTGTGACAATCTTACACGAGAAAAGGTGATGTATATATGACCGGAGATAACCCTAACCATGACGTTAAAAGCAGTATGAATACATGTAAGAAGAACTAGTCGATGTTTTCCGCGATGAATTTCCGTTTATATATATATATATATATATATATGGGAGAGGACACCGAAAAAAACCATATATGACTTTTTAGGCTACCTCAAAGTACGTTAACGTAAACAATAATATATTAATGTTAACGCATTAAGCCTTTTGAGTGCAGGCAATTTATACGTTCAAAGAATCAAAAATGGCGAGGCATTCCTTCATATAGAAGACACTTCGTTTTAACTCAACAGTGAGCCATCAACGTCCAGTCATTAAATCCACTATTCGTCTCCAATAGCCATCGCTAAATCAATAGCATAAATTACCGAAGTTCTGAACTTTAGTAAATGGCGACCCTTGACATTGAAATATAAATTAAGAACTCCCAGCCATAAAATTATCGTACGAAAAACAGCTTTCCGACATCAGTTTGTATAAATCATGCCCAATTTAATTGCGGGTCGCCATCAACTTCGGGCTCTTTCTTATTGATTCTCCTTTATTGAGTAAAATTACTAATTAAGACAAGAACATCGATATCCATCTGAACTTTAACCTAGTACAAAATTTGCTGTTTTATATTTTGAAATGGTTTATCATCTTTTTACAGCCTTTCTTCAAACAAGTATTCAAACGTGTATATATGACTATTTATTAAAAGACCTTAACGGCTGGTACCAAATGAGCTAATTAATGCAGTCATTGTCAATCTTTGTTTCCTCGATCGTTGTTCGTTCTTCCTCAGCTATTACCATTGACCTCTTGTCAGCTCCCTCTGGTTTTCATTTAATTAACGTTTTTTTGCCTAATCTCTTGTCTGATTTCTAACTATACCGCCCTGGAGGCGCCATCATCATTAACGGCAAAGTTAGCCACGGCCGACATTACTGTCTCCGTTAACAATAACGTCGGTAATTGGAGCACCAACGATGCCGATGGGCATGGCTAATACTCACTGATACGTAAAAAGACGACGCTTTACTGACTGGCGTAGATCGCTCTGCAGAGTAACTCTCTACTTAAGTAGCTAACCGATTAGTGCACAAGCAAAAAGAAAGATTCTGGGCCAAGCCTCGTTCAAAAGCTCTCACCACATTTAATTCAGAAGTCTAGTTGTACAAGATACACTGGGGGAGGGAAAATCAAACCTTCAGTTTTATTCTGTGTCTTAATAGGTTAACCCATTTGGAACGTCTGAAATGTTTCAAGTTTTACGTTCGGAACCCCCGTTAGGTCCTCCATCAGACTGCATCAGACTGGTCCTCAGCACAAAACGTCCACGCTTGGATTCGACCCAGACCACCACATGTTTCTTAAGTTTAGCTGAAAACGCTACCCACCACAAGGACTAATTGGAACGTTTGTTCAATGCAAACAAACACATTATATTCAACGAGGCGTATTCTCGACTATTTGTTGTTTGGTGCATGATAGACTTTACTATGGTACGCTTACTATAGAATACATTATTTGTGATTTAAATGCTTGTTAATGTTAATGAGATTTGTTATTGCTGGATAAGTTTTCCAAAACGAAAATGGATTTTGACGTTTTTCAGGGCGACTCTAGATGAAGCGCACTTTTCAGAATTAGCACAACTCTGAACTTGGTCGCCTACTCTTAACATTCACCTATGCTAAAACATGTCTTTTTAAAACAGCATTTAAGTGAAATTGGTAAGTTTTTTTGTTGTCGAAGTCAACACATTTGAGACCCATAAAAAACGTTTGAAAAGAGGGACCAGCACGCACGACACTCGTTTTGAATGCTTAAACAAGGGGGTCAAGACGACTTGAAGCTTGCCAGAAAAGTTGGCTACGTTCTCAGTGAACGTTTACGTACAAAACCCAGTCTAATCGGGTAGGCGACAAAATCAGCAGACCCAGATTTTGTTGGTTTTAACTAGAAATGTATTCCGTCCTATTTCGAAAATTGCCATTTTGCAACTACTACAGAGTGATTCTTAAAATCAGAGTGATAAAAGTGACTCTTATTGACCAAGTAATCGGCGGTAGTCGATCCGTTAGCAACAGAAAGCTAGTCTAATACCTAAACGTAGCATTTAGACTCAAACGCGCAGACGTGTACAGATGCAACATGCGTACAGTCAGCTTTTACAGACCCAGGTGAGTTTACCAAATAGGAAAATTTCGCATTTCGAATCACACTCTTTTCTCTGCTTTACTATATAATTACAACGATACAATGCACACGATCAAAAATAACGCCGTATTGTTATCTATCCCCTTTTCATACTTGGCCGTACTAAATGAACTACCCCACTCTAAACGGTTTCGCCAACGTGTATACCGTCACCACCGTCTTCTCAGTCGTCTATTCAGCCGCTTTATCATTCTGCGTAAAGATGTCTCGCTTAGACCCAGATTGAATGCTGATACGTGGGCCGCTAACATCGGACGTACGACTCGACAGGCAATCAACGATCCGTTCGATAACAACGACATTTTGTTGCTAATTTGCAATATCGACAGCTCGTACTTGGATCGCTAAAACTCAAATACAGTGAACGGGGCACAAACACTGGCTCTCCTTGATCGAGAGAACGAACAGACAGATCACCACGTTGGAACAGGAAAAAAAAAGTTAGTCGTTGGTACTTCTCCTAATGCTTCTTCTTCCTCTGGACCATTGGCAACAACTGTGACGTTAACATTTCGTTTGTCATAACGTACATTGAATGGCCGCAGAAAATTTGACCGCTTCTACGTATAGTGTCATTGTGGCTTGGAATTGGTATCCACGCAGAAACGATTGTTTGCACGCTGCTACGTTTGTACTGTTCAATTCAACCCAGACAATTGCATCGTCTGGCTTCCGATCTGCTACCGAAGTTCGTGGTAGAGCGATACGTAGATGGGCTGATGCAATGAATCAAGCTGTGTGACACTTTCGTATTACTTAGCTAAATAGATAGTCTAACAAGGGCTTATTGATTATCATAGTTTACGACCGTAACTCCATGCTAGCGAAAGCTTAGATACGAGTGAGTATCGCTAGTGACGAAGGTGCAACTGACATATATCTGACGTTTCCGATTATTTCGTATGCCTCAAGGATCTTAGCACGGATTTTCGAGAGCGTCATCAATTCTGATCGTTTCTTTTCGATTCGCCGCGAAAGAGCCTTCCGCTGAACCCTAAACCATAGCAGACGAAAGTATGTTGTGAAGGCTTTGTATCGCAGTAACAAGCGACTAATCGTCACCGTTCTATACACTTGTTGTTTGCAGGATTTCACGTCAGATTTCTACTTCCGACAGCGATGGCGAGACGAACGACTGTCGTTTGGCGCGCTGCCGGCCCTCGAGTCAATGACGGTCGGTGCTGAGGTGGCGGAAAAGATCTGGGTGCCCGACACGTTCTTTGCCAACGAGAAAAGCGCTTACTTCCATACAGCAACCACGCCCAATACCTTCCTTCGCATCTCGCACAACGGCGATGTGCTTAGAAGCATTAGGTACGTGATAAAGCAACGTAATCTTCACGTAAGCTGGCGGGCGATTGTCGGCGTCACAACTATAACTAACAAGATATGCCTTCACAGCCAAGCAACAGACACGTCAATAGTCCTGAATTTTCATTGCGATAGACAAACGACGTGATAACCAATAACGAATGATCAAACAAGCCTTTTAAACAAAAGCAAGACGTTAGCGTTATTGCCTCGCTGCAAATAATCTAAACAGGAGAAGGAACGCACACGTATATGTTGTTGATAGTTTAGACGTTTTTTCTATCATAATTTGTGAAACTGTGATTTGGAGTAACACTTTTCAACAGAACGAGAGACGCTTGAATTTAGTTCCAAAGTAGTCATCGATATCCTGCTATACCTTTTTGCATCTAGATCAACATATTGCCTTAGGAAACAGTGCAGAGTATCATCGACAGAGCGCCTTTCTATTGCAAACGTAATCCGTTATTTGAAAATCTTAGCAATAGCAATATGACAGTGCGCCCCAATCGGCACCGGATAATCCTTGACGCGTTACGTATTTTCACGTAATCAATATATGTAACAAGTACAGAAGGAGCAACTTGTGATAAAGTTGTCATGTGAATATTGTTTATAATGAATAGAAACCGTTAGCGGCCAAGTAGGCAGTTGCCTACCTTGCAATCGCCGTTTTGCTTGATTATGGCTGCCACTTCGTTTAGATTAAATCTACTTCATTCTATGCGTAAAAGACACCCGTACGCGCAGATACTGACACTTAGCTTAATTTGGACGTACGTCACACTTGAGACTTCGAATCCATCGGAGCCGGAAGCGCCAGCAAAGTGTAGGAACTCGAAGAATCTGATTGGTTTTAGGAGCACTACGATCGGATTCTGTAGCGCTTGTACAAAAACCCTCAAAGGCATGGTTCTGCTATCTCTTAAACGACTCAGAGGACTGAAGCGGGAAATAAGTGTCTCTGGTATGGCATCTCGCCTCACACGCATATGCAGCCAACTGATATACCTTAGCACCCATCGAAAAAGGGGCTGTGCTTAATTCCATTTAACTAGCACTTCTTCCAGAAATAGCATTTCTTTCTAACACCTTATAACTCTATAAAAAGTAGAAGAAATCTGGTTATTTACGAAAACAATAATCCGTATAGTTATTTTTGGCGAGGCCTGAAGTTTCGAGGATGACACACCGGTAACCAATGCTAACTGTATTAGGGGTGAAAAAGCGCACGCTAAATTTAAAAAAATAGTTTAACGTGGGTATGTTTTGATGCTTTTCTAGTTAGTCACTTGTAGTATAATCTATACGGTGAGTCTCTGCTGAACACTTAAAAGGAATTTCTTCAAATTATTAAATTTTATTCAGCACATAGCTTACAAGCTCACGATTAAAAGTCCGACTTATCCATTGCCCCGGAGCCACAGCAGGCAATTGCAGCTCTTGTCAACCTTGTCATCGAATGAATCTTTCGGATATTTTTAGTAATGTTCACTATGACAAGTAAATCAATATCGAAATTTCGGATCATTTTAAAACCAAACTATACTCGTTCGGGCGAATTGCTTTATGACTTCAGTAAGAACAACAGTTTTTATGTCCTTTAGGACGCAACTCAAGCGAGGAGCTTTCCTGTTCGACCAGAACGGCCATCCTGGAACTGCTATCGGTGCATAAATTGATCTAAGATATACAACCCATACAGCTGGAAAAATAGGATTTTCTGCATTTTCAGCATTCTGGACGACACGTTTGAAAACAATTGCCCCACAGATTCTCGTTGCCCCCCCGCCGCATTCGCCGGTTACGATTACTGACGACTCTGATAACCTGCCATGCATATCCTTGTAGCAATAGAACGTATACTTTATTGCTTTGTATTGGTTCCTACTCGAATTTTTGTCATTGATCGTTTCTTCAGCGTTTCGCGCAGCGCGAGTTGGCCATCACCGTCACCGCTGCTCTCTAAAACCGGAAATGCTTTCTTTTACAAGGGACTTGCCGTTTCCGCTAACCACTGAATAGAGCTTCTCACGCGGTGCTGCACTTTCACTCTTGGACGCATCGAATCGTTGGGGACCCATCCTCCGATTGGATTCTAGCTCCTTTTCCTCTTCTGCCCCTGGTTTCCTTCGCCTCGGGGCGGCCGTCATCGTGTTCCACTACCAATGGCAGCAAAACACTGAACGGGAGCCGACTTCGCCCCGGAGCGAACGAATCTCCAGGCTGATCGCGATAACAATGGTACGACCACAGTCGAGCCGTTCTGCGTTTTGCACGTCTTTTACCAGGTGCGCATCCAGATCGTTGGCAGATTAACGCATTCTTACTGAGAACCCCACTGCGTGGCAGAGCTGACGTAGGGCTGCATTGTTCAGTCACGTATCGTGTGACTATGAAAGTCTATACTTTTGTGGGGCAGTGCAGGAAACAGCGATAAAAGAAAAACGACCGTCAATAGTGGAGAAAAACGTTGCGACAGAAGAGGAGAGGAAAGCCAAAAGTCTGGAACGAGACATATTCAAAGTCGCGTTTATTGTGTAACCCTTATTTGAAATGGTGGTAGAGATATTTTGAACCCCAAATGCTGTGAATTTGCATAACGAAGAAACAAGTCGACGTGAGACGAGGTCCTTTTTGTGATTCACGTTGTGATCACGATGTGACAAGCCGATATTTCTTGTGGAATTGTCAGTTCTACTTTTTTTTTTTTTCGATAGTTCGTTAATAAATTAATTCAGTATACTTCGCAAGGTGTGAAAATGTGATTCGAAAGAACGCTTATGGAGAAACTGCTATCATCCTCGAAGGAGTTGCCCCTAGTTACCCTAATTTATGGCCTCATCATGATGGGGAGCAGAAGAAAAGATTAACGGACGTACTTCGACGTTTGTGTAAATACTGTGGGTTTTTTTAAACGAACTTTAAAAGCGTTTTATCGAAACGTATTTTTAGCGGCATTCGTTTTTAATAGCCCCCATCAGAAATCTGCGCGTAACTATTGAAATCACAACCCAGACTTGGATGAGCCTTATTCCATATCTCAAGCATGTTCCCGTTTAAAGGCTGTTCATATGGGTTAGCACGATCGACACGCTTTTTGAATGTGAGATATTAAGCAAATATCACATAAATATGTAGAAAGGTTTTTCTACGATGACACTTCGCAGGCATCTTCCTTTCTATGGTTTTTAATAAAACGTAGAAAAATATTGCACAACGACATTGCGCAAATACACATTTTTCCTATGTGACGCGCTATTACAGATTTTCCAAGGGTCAATTTGTGCGGTGTTATTACAGGTGTCATCCAGGAGGGGGCCCATGGCATAACTTGACCCACTTTACTTTTCTACCAGAACCCGCTAAGAGCGGACCTACATAGCGGAGTGTCAGCAACGACGTGGGACAATATATTACATGTTTCTTTTCATTAGTTAATAACTGTTTGCCTAGAGGTCTTAGACCTATTTGGGTTTTTGGTCAACGTATAGTGCAATGGCATGGCAAGAGCATGCTATGGTGATCATTTACCAGCGCTGAAATTCGTATTAGCGATGATCAAATGTTCATGATTATACCTCCTTAGACCACACTTCCTATTTTTTTTTAATTAGAGACATCTTTTTCAACAAAGTCACTTGCTACTTTTCACAGCATTTGCTATAAATTTCCTAAAAGCTTTTTACCACTTCATTTTTTGGATATCGTGCCCAAGGCGTTTCATATCGTAATGTTTTTTGACGTTATCGACGATCTTATAGCTATTATATCCATAACATGACCAGCATAGAAATATCTAACCTCGATACACCTTATTTCTTTTTTATTTAGCTTCATTTTTCCCCTACGACATGACTACCTACTGCGCAGGTGACCGACCGCTCAGTGACCAGATATGACCATACTGCGGTACGAGCGCCAGCGAAACTTTTACATTGGGTTGTGTCGCTGTCAATGATAGGAACACCAACAAGGCGAACTTGTAACATATACACCGTAGCCGGATATGGTGATGAGTGTACGTCAAAGCAGTATTGCTCGCACACGACCGACAGCGCCATAAGAACGAAATGCGGCTATTGAAGGAACTACTATATCCCGTTAATTTATTTGGGCATATTTGTGGTGACAGTGCTAGACTAGTTTTTTTCTAGCTCTATTTGTACAGCCTACAGTAGGAAACATCTCGGTCTTGCTCGTGGGGAGGTCTTAGTGTTAACAACAAACTTGTAGTAATCAGCCCTAGTAGGTTTGAAGCCGCTTTCAGCTGCAGCAGATTCTCGCCAGCTGCTTGGCAGTTTGAAGGTGCAGGTACCTGATACTAGCGATGGCTAGTCTAGGTCATCTATGTCACTACTACTTCTCATTCGGCATTCGTCCTATTGTTGTATTCAGCAGTTCTATTGCTACGTCTGGGTTAAGGACAAGGATATTGACCAAACCCAGTTTGCAAGTAACACTTAAAATATCTTTCCTTTAGTGTTTTTTTTACTTGGCCAGTAGATAACTTTGTAGCTTCTGTTCACGATATCATATCCACGCTGGTATCTCGATACGTACCGCCATTGGTTATTGGACTGGGCAAGGGGCTTGTGTATCCCAATGTGTAAGAACGCCGCATGCTATATCCCGTGTTCGTTCACGTCAATACGACGTGTGTCAGAAACAGAACAACCTTCTTGGGACGCAAAAGCGCTGATATTGGTGCTCAGCTTTGGGGGCAGACGGGTGGGTGAGCAACCAGCCAGGAAGCATCGAGAGGGCTAGCTTGTCCATTGGATGACTCATGGAGTCGTCGTACAAAACTCTTGTTGTCGCTGTCAAAAGAGAAACATTGTCATTGCTTTTGCCGCCGTGGCAGCTGAATGCAACAGGCATTATACAACGAATAGTGAGTCCTTGCTTTAAAAGCCTACGGTCTGAGTGGATTGTAATCCGCTAGCCACGTAGTCGGGCCGTGTTACTACCAGACCCCGCTAAGGCCCGCATAGCAGGCCGACTTAGCAACAAAAGCAACAACAACGAGCTCATTGAGTAGCTGATCGACCCCAGTCGCATAGTTACAACATACAGCGGTGAAAGACGAACCATAACTAGTATCCGGCTAGTTCTCTTTGCGATTTCCCGCTGGGAGAGCGGGACGCCGCAGGCAATGAGAACAACGTGGAGGGGGCAAAGAGGCAATGCCGAATCGAAAAGACTCACAAAACCCAGAATGCGAAAGGCGATAGTGGGTAACCTACCGCTTCTATTGCTAGAACCAGATCCAATAGGAGCAGACGGCAAAATGGAATGAGAGCAAAAAAAGGCAATTCAGTACATTACCATGTTGTTTACGGTAGCTAATGGACTATTGGCGTAGTGTAGTTTGGTTGTAAGATATTGTATGTGGGGCGAACTATTGGCCGGTATACAGTGCGTTAGTTCTGCATTGCAGAAAACGCAGCAGAAACATTCAAAAAAACGCTTCTCTAACGAACCGAAGGGTGGAGCTTGCATTTTCTTCGAAGAGACACGGCGACGTTTTCATCTCGAACGATGCCTCCTGCGGAAAATGCCATCTTGAAAATACCGTTTAGACATGTCGCAAAACCCATGATTTTCTTTTGATTTTGCAAACATTTCTTATTGCAGCAGCCGAAAGTGTTACCTATTGGGCTGAACACAAATACCAACAGTTGTTTTTTAGCCACGTTCATTAACTGCAATCTTTGAACATATCCTAGTCAAATTCAATCTAGTATCTATTGTTTCCTACGATTTTCGCGCATCCTTTCAATAGCTAACGTATCTTGCCAAGTAACAAGGTTTCATTCTTGAAAGTAATTTATTTATGTAACCCGACTGTGGACTGCGACCTTTGTCCTAAAGTGTTTGCCTTCCTGGCTATGCTGCATTTACAAGTGATTGTCAGATGAAACGATGTCCGAGTAGGACAGAGGCCTATTAACGTCCGGTATAACGTAAGTATGCAGTAATACTACTTTGCATCGCCCTTGATCACTCAATTTTGCGGCTCAGACAACTAGGTTGATTTACGTGTCCGTCTCATGTGGTTCAACTATGGAGTTTGCTAGCTCATAGTATAACGCTTTCCGCATCTCACCATACGTAGAGGTGCAGTTTTTGACAATACATATTTTTTCGTGGCATCGGACTGAAGAGGTTTAGACATTCTGGGTTTGCGTTTAGGAGATTGTTACATTTTATTCTCGCCCGTAGTGATCTCGTATCGAAACGGCCTTTTCTGTCGCGCAAGCAACGGAAGTCATATTATCAGACAGTTTTTTTTTGGAATTTTCACTCAGTTTGTGGAGGCCTACTTCCTTTCTTTTTCGACCTTTCCTAGTGCATGCAAGCAGGCGATTGACAACGGGCACCTTGGCTATCCCCAGCTGTGCAGAGAACTCTTGGATCGAATGGCTCACATTTGGCTTAAGGATGCTCACGGTTCGTCATCGTTCGCTCCATGTGGCCGTCCAGAGTGTGATCTGCCGTCCAAGTTGAAACCATTGGTTTTGAAGCCATTAGAAGTGACAGGTGCTAACGCCACCTGCACGTTCGCCTTGGACCGCTCAAACTTTTTACCCGTTTCGGCAGAACCTTTTTCATTGGAGAAGACAATGCTGGGCTATGCATCTTTTTAAGCTCAATGACTGAATGCACCGAATCACTGCTTTTAACGAGCAGAGATTAATGAAACGCAACGGGACACATACCTGACGGTCAAAGCGATAATCCTGGCTTTAGTTAAACGTATTTGTTTTGAATTTTACATTTAGCACCGCTACTAGGCATTCCATTAGATGACTGGCTCTCAGCACGAAACGAAGTACCCCTATTTGACCCTACACCTCCTCGTGTCTTCAAGCTTACCAAAAAAAATACGTTACCCACTAAGCTATCACGAAGGCATCATGGGTTTCGCTATATACAATTAGCCGATCCGACGCTAGCTCCGTTGTCTTGAGCGGAACTTTTTATCCAATTTAATATTTTATCAAAGGAGAGAAAAACAGGTTCAGTTTTTCGAGAATGGGCTTAGTGAAGGGCAAAATCTGCCCCATTCCAGTAACTGCAAAAACGCACTAATCAATCAGCCCTTCAATTCTGTCGCATATTACAAAGCTCGATATATTTTTCCTACTATTTTCATTTATATTCGATTTTAGAAGACGTTTTAATGTATGCCCAATAGCTGCCTGAAGAGAAAAGCTAATTCTACTCTATTCCATTAGGCAAGGACAATGTTCGGACTGTGTTCTTTAAAATCAGCATCTTTCATAGTAATTCTCTCATACTCGAAGCGGTTCAGCAGTCTCGTTCGGCCTTCTGCTTCGTGGGAGTTCCTGAATTTTACATCTGGTACTTGGTAATATGCATCTATATTTAAATCAATTTTTGTACGATGTTTCAGATTAACCGTTACGGCTAGCTGTCCCATGGATTTACGCTACTTTCCGATGGACCGACAATCGTGTACTATCGAAATTGAATCCTGTAAGTATTCTACGGTAGAAGCCACGTCGTACTTACAGAATATAAATTTATCTTATTTAGTACAGTGGACTATTTTTTTCTTCTACTGAAACATTTATACAACAGCCAAGTCACGGTGTCGTAGGTTGTTCTGAACAACTCCGAAAGAAGAAACCGTTGAGAATTGAGTCTTGAATGAAATTACTATACGTTACTGGTCAAGCCACTACTACATTTGAAATATCTGCTCTTGATCAGAAGAGCGGCACTGAAGTTCAAAATTCTCTGGAGGAAGAGAAATATCCAGTTTTGACTTATGGAAATAGATGAAATAGATATTTAACAATACCAATCTGCCAATACCAATAATGCCTGCATTAATAACCTAACAATGACGTTTTATGACGTATTTATCTCATAAGGCTAGTATCATACTCATTGTTATCAAGGTTAGTCATATGACCTTGATGTCATACTTTGTCTATACGTCTTGTTCTCTTTTTTAATTTTCTTACATAGCGCACTTCAGGTTCGAGCAAGCTTCCTTGTGTTTTCAACTTCTTAAAGAGAAATCTTGCGTTAAGCCATCCCATTCAATGAAGTCTGAGCGTAGCTTAATTTTGTCAGCTCTGTATCTGACCTTCGTACAATACAACTAAATCGTTTAAGAATGCCCCACAATTTATCGGATATTTGCATAACCAATAAACCTATGACGAATAATTATGTATCGCATTAATGACCCAACACTCGTTTGAAATAAAACATGGACGTAATACCTCCTATTGTCCTTTTTTGGGGAGATGTCTAATTTTGGTTTATTCAATGAGCTCCATATAGCGCAGACTTAGTTACACGTACAAGCGGAGAATACTTTCGCCCTTGGCGATTATCAATCGGATAGGGCCATATATCCATCGGGCCAAAGTAGACGTTTTACCGCAACCTACCGGTTAGTTCTAGCGGGTCGTATACGATTGATCAAGTCGCGCACACGTTTAATGCGCTGTGTTCGATCGTCAATCACATTATTATTATTATTACTACTACAACGAGCTTACCTTTTGACAACTCTACCCTTTTCCACTTCACTAGCCGCCTATAGCTGGCATGAACTGCACAAGTCGGGAACCTTCAGGATCCATGTGACTTTACGATAGTGAACTACAGGCAGGGACAGTGGGGTAAGGACTATAGCGACTGGTAATGTTCAGTTAGGCAGCTGCATAACGATTGACATAGATGTGTCATTGAAGTGGTGTCCGTTGAAGGCCGCACTGTGAACTCACCTTCAGTGAAGAGGACAAGGCGGATAACGAGGGAATTTTCCGTCGCGTAAATCGTCATTAGGCTGTGAAAGGTTGTTTTAACTGAGAAGTAAAGATTGCGCAGAAAAGCCGAGGACAGACGTCAATTGAATGAAATCATGATTAATCGTAATACCGCATCACAAGCTGTACACACACGGAAGTTTGCAGTTAGAAATCGAAATCCTCAACGGGTGAATACGTGTATATATGTAGATCCGGACCGAGCTAAGAAAAAAGTTGACGAACCAAGGTGCTATAGTGGAAAAATATTGGTAATCACTTTTGCATGGTACTCATACGTTAGATGACACACACACACACCGAGAAAATCTCTTACAAGTTCATCGTTAAGCAACCCCTCATTCCTAATCTAGCTGGCATTCGGCCCGTATGAAATAATCCGCGTTTATGAAAATGAAGAAACAGAGCGTACATAAAATGACCAACATGGTAACAGAACGTATAGAAGAACATATAAGGAAATATTAGAAGCATATCTTGATACTTTTTAAACACTTAATTTTTCGTTAGAGACGAATCACTGATCAAGTTGGTTGTCAAGAAATGTAGCTGATTTTGTGCATAATCCGACATTGAAATAAACGTACTTCATTGACAAACTGACCATAGTCTAAGCATGCGCTCAATCTGGGAGCCACTCAGATATTTTCAGACATCTACTGTAAATACATGGAGCTATTATATGCATTCGAAGTAATCCTAAAGTTATTGTGCTCATAGTCATCAGTATAGACCTGGAATAAATTGTTTTTTTTTCACAGTGTCGACCTTTACTTTACTTTAATTAAAACGATATTTACCGACGATTCTAGGTAGGTTCTTGGCTATGAGCCAATATAAATCAAATGAGGTTACTTTGTAAAGTAAGTTCGTTATTGTAATCGTCAAGTAAACTTTTTTTTTCACTTGATATGTGTATAATAAAAGCGAAGGTTAATTTTTCAAGCAGAACAAGGAAGATAGAGTAAGAGGCCATATAGTAATAATCATATGAATTGTTTAGATGACTAGCTGAATCTGATTGGTCATAATGTCAACAAAAGTAACGCAGCTGTTAAGACGCCCAGTAGTTTTGGGTTAATAGACCTCCGTCTGTCCGCGCTTATAAGTTCTGTTTGTTGACGAGATTATCAAATCAAATAGGTATATTCAAGTTAGGCCGGGCCAACTACACAGGCCACATCGAATAGATGTTTTTCATCTGTTTTATTATTATATCACACTTAGCTTGTTGTCGTGTTTATTTGATGAAATAATAAATAAGCCTATTCGAGCGTTCCCCACTAAGCGTAAAAATCAGGAAGTGAAACGTTATGTATGGTTTTCTGGCTAAAAAAGGGGCAGTTTGGTCGATACGTTCATATCATTAAAACATTTTTTACCGGACAAAAAGTCAGTGTTTTCCTATAGTCGCTCTCTCTATATATGTAATAGCCCTTTTGCATTTGCGCATCAAAGGTAATGAGTGATAGCTTTCCTGTGAGGTGACGTCGCCTTGTCTGGAGACCGGCTTCTACCTGGTCACAGAAGTACGCTTTGTGTTGCAGTTGAGATCAAACTTGGCCCAGCAAAACGTACTGCCCATGCTTCAACGAGTTCAGATTTAGTAACATACCTTAGCACATTGCTCAGCGCAAATTTCCTGCAAATATCCGGTATCTATTCGAATATTTTATACCTTATTTTTTTATTTCTGTCCATGCATTTAGGGTTTCTCCATAATACTAATCGAACACGTGATCGCTGCTATTTCATTAATATTGCGCAATGCACGGCTTGTCCTTTCGCCATCTGTTTTTTTTTACCAGATCGACACTCCACTTCTTTTTTGCTGTTTTTATTTCTATCGATATCTCTTCTGATAGGCGAACTAGCTAGCGCATTGTTCAGTGTGATAAAGCTGACGTCTTTCGTATACGCAATGCACTCCTCCTTCTCCTTTATCCCTCATGTTTCTCCATGGCACTTCTCTATGTGACAGCCTAATCATGTCTACTGCCAGCAGCCCACATTTTTGCCCCGTTCATCGACATCAGTTTGCATAGCAGACATCGTTGTCACCTCCGCCACCATCGACAGCTAAACACGTGTCTCCTTGAAGCATCTCTGTTTCCACTGGGAAGACTAGGTCCATGATATTGCTGATGGTGCTGTTGGTACCGACGTCGCATTAGTGGCGTTCAGAACCAAATGCCCTTTTGGTTTCGAAGAGTTCTGGCTCTGTCTTAATCGAGTTGCCAGCGGTAGGATTGTCGTCAGCTACTGAGCTAGTCACTCCTGCCCTCCCAGTTAGGTCTTTGTTGACTGACTGGTTCTATATCTCTGCGAGGGCTAAGAAATAGCACGAGACATATGAACGTAGCGTGACAGACTGATACCGCTATACTATCCTTAGTTTTTATCGTTGTTCGACATCGTATTGTTCTGTAGTTGTCTGTTTATAAATCGGCATTCCGCTGCTGCCCAAACCAGCGGTCCCATAGCCGTGCCTTGTACCTGGCACCGCACCAGCGATACAAGCTCCCCTGTTAATGTCTCTAGTCATTATGATTATCAAACAGCGCCTATTTATCCACTGTCAAATGGCACTCGTGAATTAGGCTGAAACACATCTTATCTAGTTCTATACATTTATACTATTCTATTTGACCTTGATATGACGCTATATGTCGCGTCATAATCATGGATTGGCGCTGCTCTTACGGTTGCGATCGTCGGACCACCTCAGAGAAGTGGGACATGTCTATGGCTATAAATATTGCGATTAAGTGCTGCCGCTGGTGGTATTTTTCTACCACCGCGTTTAGTGGAAAAGATCGATGAATGGTCAATAATCGGAAGGGAAGCTATATAGAGACTAATAAAGTTGAGAATAGAAGATGTTTGTTTGTACGTAACATTCATCAATCGACTTCCTATATATGTAATGGTAGGAGACCATGTACGGGACGAGGCGTTACGAATCGGGAATGACTAAACGGAAGACGATGTGTCTATTTGCCTAACGAGAAGTATATTGAGTAGCCGAATCCGCCCAGCTCAAGCGCAGCTGTTCATAGTAAACGCTGGAAGTAAATGTTGTTACAGTATCATTACCATTATTACAACCCTACTTCACCTATGGCGTATGGTATTGATTGAAACGAATGAACAAGCAGGGGCTAGGAGGGTTTGCTCATATCAACAAAGCTTCGTAACACAACGCGTGTACTCATCTGCAACGGACAAATCACTATTACGTCGATTTTATGCCACTCAAAATTCATAATATCATCGTACCGATCATCCGTTCATTATTGGTTATGTTGAACAATTGAAACATCAGGTTAGGTTTTTCATCAGGAGTCCTCGTCAGAAGTCAATAATGAGTGATACCGTACTATATATGGTTGAATCGTTAAAAATGCTTTTTTGCTTAGACGGGCTCAGCTAATAGATTTGAAAGCAACTGATAAGCTCCAGCTGCGTTTTAGAAGTTACCTATATGTAGAAAAAGGCTGTTATATATGCCGGAGGGACACACAAAGGTTATGTACCTAAGAGGCTAATCGCGCGCACTTCACAGCTTCCGTCGTAGTGAAGTCTAGAGTTGGAAGTCTCTTCAGGCCATGGTCCGCTCAAGGACCAAAAATTTAAAATCATACTTCGTTCAAGCATATTGTAAACTTTTATTTGAAAATGGAATAACTACCAACGTTGCCTAGGAACCGTTTGAGCTTCAAGCGAGACGTAAACATCGTTTTTCTGTTCATTTCAGTCGGCTACACGATGAAGGATATCAGTTACCGATGGTCGGATGGCGAAAAATCGGTGCGTATCAGCAAAGAGGTTGAACTGCCTCAGTTCAAGGTGCTCGGACACTCACAACGTTCGCGCGCTGTAGCTCTCTCGACTGGGAATTACTCTCGACTCGTTTGCGAAATCCGTTTTGTTCGCTCAATGGGTTACTATCTTATACAGATTTACATTCCCGCCGGCCTTATTGTAGTTATCTCATGGGTAAGTAGATACTCAGACGGTCCCTACCGTAAATTAACTTCACACTTAATTAGCCTTTATTTCATACGAAACGGTAGATAGTTATTGTGCGAGCGTGATCAAAGTAACAATTCAGTGACACAAAACCCGGTCATATAATGATAGTAATAACAAAGATGAATTGATCTATTGTACATTTTGATCAGCTTTCGCGTAATGTAGCATAATACGCAAGTTTTTATGCTTACAGTCTGACAAAATAAGAAATTCTGAAAAAGCTTAATATGCTCAGTGCTTGTATAGCACTCCGTTCTTCCAGTTTTGAAATTTGCGCCATAATACAATCAATCTCTGTAACAGGTGCAAATTCATGGAACGCAGATGTAACGTCAATTAGCATTAAATGCGCATACTGCGCAATTATATGTAATTCGTAATTGTGAAGTTTTGTCGCTGTCATATAAGCTGTTATTTCTTTGCAACAGGCTGAAGGTAAAAGGCTGAGGGCTCTTGCTATTAGTGAAAGCCAAACTTCCTAGCTTGAACGTGTACGGTAGACTAACAATGTATGGGAAATTTAATTGCTAAACATTAACTTCCATTATTTATAATTTTCTTTAGGGGTTTTGCGATGGCCAGACGGTGTTACAGTGTGCAATTGGTACACAAGTGGCGAGTAAACGTTTAAATAATAATAAACACTTAAGTTGTATTGTGTTTGTCCTGAACTTAAGTGCATAAGTTTATCTGATTTCGAGAGGATATATGGTATCACCCTCATCCACGAGGGCCAAACTGTTCTCAAAGTCACTCTTGACTCGTATAATGAGTTCACTTTATGTTTACAGACAGCAGTTCTCGAGTCTGCCGTATAGGGCTATGAGACACGTATGACTATTTGTTTTTTTTTGGACGCTTTTGTCAAATTCTGACAATTTTTAACGAGCATATACAAATTTGTAAAACTGTATAATTTTTTAGAACGTGCCACCGTATGTCCGATAAGGAATAGATGTTCATATCCACGATATTCTTACGTGCTATCTCTCCCAATAGTCCGCACGGAAGGATTACACCTGCGTGACACAGATTTAGATGAGTCTATTCCGTATGTCGTTGCTCTCTGAACATCCAGAGAATCGATAACTAAGAAGTGCCATTAGATAATTGTCGCTGCTGGCCGCGGCCTCACCTGATATCATTTATTGACGAAGTTCTATTAAGCATACATAAGTACTTCTGACATATGTCTGTCTGCATAGATGATTGCAACTTCGATCACATGCCTCCAACGAGATGTGCGGGTCCCGCTAATGTCGGACGTGAAAACTCGTGTTATGAAACTATTGTTATATCCGATGTCCCAAAACTTGTGGAGAGCCTAAAGCCACCAATATTCAGTATGTGCTTTCTTAGCAGGCTAACTTATCAGCTTTCCAACGTTCCCTCTTGTAGGTCCACGTTCATTTCAACATGGCGTCTTGTTGCACCGCAATCAGCATACACCTTTTCCGTGCGTCTTACTTGAAAACACAGCGAAAAGATAGCAAATGCTTACGCCTATAGTCTACTAGGCCATAGTACCGAAACGCTTAAACTCGGATAAAGCCCCTTAGCACTTCCTTCACCAGTTACATACCAGATATGTAAACACGCAAACCGATGGCGTACCATTATAACTTAATTGCCTGATCTGTTTCGCCGCTTTGTCACTGCTACAGGATCGAATGATCTGCTGCCTGTTTTGGTTACTTTCAGCGACCAGGTAGTGGCCGACAGAGATTGCACTGTTTTTCTCCGAATGTGGAAGATGTAGAATGTTCATATGCGTCGGAAAATAGACTCTGACATGCATGCCCTATCTATCAGCGGTCGTTTAGTCCAGCCGTCGATGTTGCGTCACGACAGTTGCACGTGGAAGTTCGTTTACCACCGCTTTAAACGTACAAAACGTTATTTAAACATATCCTTCTCTCCCAGATCTCGATCCAGATTTCTCATTGTGTTTTTTTTCTAGTTGCTCGCATTGTAAGCCGAAGCTTTACGCGGCTGCAGCGCCATTTGCAAACCACGGAGAAAACACAGCGGACGTATAGGGCTCACTAAAACGCTCCTGCGGCAGCGGTTTGTACGAATAAGGCAAGGCCGCAGAAGAATGCTTCCGAGCGATGCTCAGATGGGACGGAAACTACCCGGGCCAAAAGGTCAACACGACATGGGAAGAAAATTTACACGGGGCTGGGTCCGGCAATACGCTTCTTCTTGGTCGGCACTGCCTGTTTTTCGGAGAAGCGTGCGCCATATTTAGCCTCAGTGTTTCAGCTGCCTGCAACAGCGATTGCGTAGTGCACTGTGCCGGCCTTCCGCCGGGATGATGTTTAAGTCCTGTCCATGCATACGGAGAAATGACGCTATATAGAGGGAAATATAGAGGCCAAGTATAGACTGTGTGATACCAGAACTGCGTAGCAGAAATAGCCACAATAGCTGGAGTGAGTGGCAAGTGTATGCATGTCACGCAAAGCCCTTCCTGCACCCTTGCAGAGACGGCGACGATTTCGAGACCCGGGACTTCCGCGTTTTCTCCATTTTCGTTTTGCGGTTCCATTGTTTCATAACTTTATTCGTCTGCGTGCGTTATTCTATAAGAATTTCCGTCAACGTTGTTGCAGCTCCTTATGCCACAGCCAATCACTTCAAAAAGAATTCTTCTAACAGACTTAGACAGAGCAGGGTCCTATGACGGCAAAAATAGCATCAGGGGATTGGAAGCAACGACGGCATAATCAAGTGGGGACGTGGAGGAGGAAAGGCGAATGAAACAACGGCGCTGAATGGTTCCTTTTTGGCGAGGTAATGGGACCGATAGCCGCTAAATTAGATATATCGAAGCAAGTCAAATTCATTCTATGTTCATTTAGGTTTTTTGCCAAAGGCAGCGGGGATTAGTAGTTAGTTAAAGAGTAAATGAGTGTGGCTATATGACAGCGATCCCTCTGCGGGATTGGGTAACTCATAGAGATGCGGCTGGGATTTTTGGGTCCTCACGATATAAATGTGGGTATACTGTAAATAGGATATTATCTGCGCCGATAAACTACTAAAAGGCTGTAATATTTGTCAAATGGGTAATGCTTGCTTGCGTTAAGCTGCCATGTACGAATTAGGTTGGTTGGTATTTGCTTGAATCTACAATAAACTAATTTATATTGTAAAATGATTTCGGGCAGCCAGATTATGGGCTTACATACTATGGTAACGATGTAAATGGAAAACAGGGAACCCTATTTAACCGATTGAACTTTGAAATTATTCCAGTATTGTGATTGGCTTTAAGAAAGATGAAATGGATTCGAATGGTCTCAATTATAATTTTATGCATATTCACACAAGACGTATTTAACTCACCAAGATGATGCCGGCAGTTTATCTCTATTTGGCCATAATTTGTGGTGAATAATGGAATAACCCTGTAATTTGCTGCATAGTAGTATAACTAGGCAAAATTGAAGAACGAAAACCAGCCACATTACCAGCCTCCATGAGATCTGATCGCTGGTTGGTAGACAAGCCGACCACCGAGTCATCGTTAACTTGATGACTTTTTTTACGCCTTCGAATGGTCATATTTCTAATGTTCTTCTGGCAACACCGAAATTGTAAAATCCACATAGTCGCTCACAAGCGGTCCTCTCAGTATATCAGATCGACACGTTTATCGCATGCCGCGCCAACATCTATTGTTTTTCACTCTGAGACCTTAGAAAATTCAATCAGCAATGTCGGTCCCCACAAACTTTTTTTTTTCAATAATAGTTTATGACATACGTTTTGTACATATGCTAACGCAACTCTAATTCATTTATTCGTTCGTAGGTATCGTTCTGGCTACACCGTAACGCGACCCCAGCTCGAGTCGCGCTTGGGGTCACCACAGTTCTCACAATGACCACGCTCATGTCTTCCACCAACGCTGCACTGCCAAAAATCTCATACGTCAAGTCCATTGACGTTTACCTCGGTAAGACGACGAAGTAAACGGAAAAACTTCGTTTCGAGAGACAACTGTTCATTATACGAAGTTGGCAAAGCAGAAAAGAGTATGTCAATAATGTTTAGTAATAATGCATAGAAATGTTTAATTACTTTTTTTTATTATATATATATATATTACTATCTCTGGCAAGGTGCTCATTATACTGCCAGAGGTTATTCTATTCCGTGAATTGCATTCGTCTATCAACGTGTATAAAGCGGATGAAGGCTGTGGTAACAAATAGGATTGATCTATTTATGTCACTATTTCAGTTTACCACTAAACTTTCCATATATTCCTAAATGCAACATATTCATATTATTTAAAATTTACTTTATCATTTTTGAATCTACTGTTAAACCTCTATACTACACAGCTATTGTCAGAGGCCACTTACGGGGCCTACTCTAATGACAAACCAGTAGCAACAGTATAATCGTACTTTGCTTTAACCTGTATTTTTTTTATTCTCTATCCCCCCCGGCGTTCCTTCATGTGTTCGTTCTACGCAGGTACGTGCTTCGTTATGGTTTTTGCCTCGTTGCTCGAATACGCCACCGTTGGTTACTTGGGTAAGCGGATCGCCATGAGGCGTACGCGATGCCAACAAATGGCCAAATTGGCTGAGCAGCGGAGACAGCTGGAACAACTTGGTGATCCTTACAGGCCGGGTCCGTATGGTGGCGCAGGACCACCGTACGGGGGTGTAGCGGGTTATGGAGGTCTATTCTCGCTGGGACCCTCGCGGATGCATACTCCGGGCGCCATTACGCCACACTACGACAAGAGCTGCGTTTCCAGTCCTACCGAGCCCACGCAGCAGCCGCACGACATCTCACCGCCAATCGTCAAGAGCGTCGTAAGCACGACTACATCGACAACTATCTGCAATTTATAATAATTTAAATTTAAAAAATGTGACAAAATTATGAAAAAATATTATTGAAAATCAGCTGGTCCTAAAAATATATGAAACAAGCAACCTATTGCATTCATATTCAATTAGAGACTGATCAGTCAGGTTTGTTAGGTATATTTATATGCATACGGAAAATGAACAAATACTGGTTCCCCGACAAACAAAGCTGATGTATATTTTTAGACAAAAGGGAAAAAAGCAGCATTAACATTCCACATATAACCAAAATTAAAATGAAGGATGCTTTAATATGCGATTTAAAAGTGATACATCATTTGTAGCTAAGGCCCGCTATTCTCCTTGCGACCTATACCTAAACGCAGAGTAGAATGGTACTCGATGACAAGGTCCTGCATACTCATACAATGAATTGTTGTCTTGTTCACATGGCGGATATGCTGTGCACAGTTCCGATCGGCTACGAGGAATAATCACGTGATCGTAAGGACTGTCATACTTGAATCATTGGTGATTTCTTTAAATACCATCAGGATCCTCATGTCCTTCGATTCTTCCGTACAATATGATCGATTATGAAAGGAGCCCTACAACCCTATATATATATATATATATATATATATATATATATATATATATATACAATGGTAACAAATAGTAAATCAGAAATTAAATCTAATTAAGAATCTAATTAAATCGTTCAGCTTATAAACTTCCATAGAGGCAATTTGGCTAGATCTGTTTTGGTCATCTGCCTCTTTCCTTTGGCTTTGGCCCTGATAAACAACTTTATACATTTCTCTCCTAACGAATCACTAAAATATGAAAAAAGTTACATACATGCACTTCAACATACATATTGTAACTTAGTACGACTTAATACTTCCTTATCTAATAAATAACTAACTAAGTTAACTATAATTTCCATTTCAAAGATGTATACTATTACGAATAATTGACATTTTAAAATTATATTAAAAATAAGTTTTGTTTTTATAATTCGCTAATAATATTATTATTAGAAAAGATTGATAGAAAAACTATTGTCTACATTGTTATGAGAAGTGTCTAATAAACGATGCGGTTCCTGGGCAGTTAAATCAACTAGCAATATTTGGTTAAGTGTAAAAGCATCTCTGGGTACAGAAATAGCAGATATACCAGCAGAGTATGATGAGCGTATATAAGAAGTTCGCCTGATTTAGCCGTCTGCACTCGACGCTCTTGCATCACAATACATGGCCTATGCGTGGCTTTCGGCCATCCTTAGGCAAATCATGGAGAGGACAATTGGTAAAAAATCCGATCAAGATATTACCACAGTAACAGTGATTTTTGTAACTGAAATTGGTGACGGAGCGAAGATATTCCCAGCGGCCTTCCTCTTTCTTTGTGCTGTACTGGCGGTATAGTAGAGGTAAGGTGTCAGTGCGTCCTATACAATGACACAAGCATCTAGCCAGGATCCGTTCGTCACATGTTCCGTTTTCGTCGAATTTGGGCGGAGCGTCGAAGCTCAACGTGGTAACCAGGCTGTTGTTTTTGCAACGGCAACTGGCCTATTATCTCATTACAAACTGGCATTAGGTTTACGACAAGTAAGCTTTAGAGTGTACAGGTTTGCGTAGGAAAATATACGACAGTAGCAAGATATATGTATATATACTGGCGTTTTGTTAAATGGCGAATGGTAGAATCATCGAAAAACGTACCGCGGCTCGATAAAATGAAGCTTACTGCTGATCTTTACTTTATCTGATTCCATCGTACTACGTAAACACGTCCTGGGGTTGAAAACTGCAACGGAACATAATGGACGATACAACTTTGAATGACTTCAACTTTCCAAATGAGAAATCGGGTCAGCGTTATGATAAGCATGCTAACGTCCATTGCTGTAGCCGAGAAAAGCCAAAGTTAATTTCGGCACAATGCTCCATATTCGACAAGTTGTGCACGATACAATAGACAAAGCTTTCATTTACAATATTGTATTTGTATACATTTGTAAGGAGCCTATAAAGCCGATACCGGTGACAACGAATTTCTACCAATAGTCGCTTGTTTAAATTTGAGTAAACTACGCTCAGACATATTTCCTTTGCTCAAACTAGAAATAAAGTCGATTGCTCCAAAAGCCCAAATACTGGATCCAACACGGCCAGCCTCTTTTAGCCACGTTTGTGGTTACGTATCTACAGCTAGTCCTCATTCATTATCTACATAAGGTTTAGTATGGGAGATTTTCTTTGCTTTGCGCTTCTGTCGAACTGGAAGCTTCAGATAGTTGCGTGTCACGCTCGGCCACTGACGGCTGTATGCGGCAGTTTTGATTTTGTGACGCTTGTATTGTCGGGATATGATATAAAGTATAGGTTATTAGCTGTTACTATAGGCCACGAAGGAATTATGAGACTAATTGGCCCATTTTGTTTACGACGGCCTATCGACATGACCGTCAACAGTACGTTGTTTCGTTCCTGTTAATGTATTTTTTTCTTTTTCGTCTTTTATCGCATTGTTGAAACTTCATCTTTGGCTTTTGGCGCAGCTTAAACAGCGTCCTGATTTGCTTGAACGTATAAGGCAATATAATTTTTTTGTAGGTTGTTAGTCGGTACATTTCTGTCGCTCAGTTAGCCGATATAACAATTATCGATTAACTTATTAAATAATCCGAATATTAGACATCGCTGAGACGTCAACCGGTAGCCGGCAAATCGGAACCAAATACTGATACAATATTTGACCATGTATCCAGACTATCTCTACACTAGTTCGAACTCTGTAGTGATTTCAATAAAAAAAAACACGCACATCAGTTTCGGAAACGGCTAGCAGACGACGCGTCTCATACGATCTGCGCCGCTAAACATCGACAGGACAACATTCCAATTGCGTGATCTATGGCCGCCGATCTTGTTTTTATCTCATAGTTATGAACATTTTTATTTATGGTGAATCGGTGCATACACATATCATATGTACTATTTTGGAACTTCTGGATTATCTAGGTTTCTGCACCCAGACAAAATAAATTGTTTCTGAAAGCTCCGCTTACCACAGCTGGCTTAGGTTGCCGGACTACAATAACACATGTTCGATTCGCCGGAGACCTTTGACGTAGAAATATCCACGGATAAACCTAACAGCAGTCGGACTTGTTCTAATGTTTGGCACTACACGGAAGGCTGAAATTACATTTTCGGCCGAGTTCTGTTCGTTTCATTAGCATACCATTTCGGCAGTACTGCTAGAATAATGCTACTGACCGCGGGCCTGGGGCGGCTCTGCGATCAGTCTGGCGCCTCACGCATTTTCTAGTCCTGTGTGACCCTTCCATCACGGCTGTCGCTTCGAAGTCAAGCCAGCTTGAAGATCTCCGCGGTACACGGGCTTTTGCCGACTTGGCTGGTTTTACTTGGACTTTTGGCTGTTCCTGTTATAATACACTTTAAAGTGATGCCTCAAAGCAATCGTTTTTCTCTGGGATAAAGGGAAACGACAGACATAGGAGTGAAGAGGAGCGAATATGACTAGATCGACACGGTTCGGACTTGGTACAGCAAACTGACAAACCCACTATAAGGAACGTCGTTTTTCCCTATATTGGCCACATTTCAACAATGCAGCATTCTCCCTAGACATACGTGGATTATAGATGTTACAGAGCGATAGCTTAAAAGCGCCAAAGGACGATCATCGGCATAGGCAAATCTATGCAGTTACATTGCGTCATCAAAGTCTTTGTCTTGAAGTACATACATATAGAATAGTAAGTCTTGAGCCCATTAGCCATTGTCTCCGAAATGCTTGGAGTTCAAGCCGGGCCTGAACCCTATTGTGACTGGAACATGTTGTTTCATTAAGGTCACATGTGCCCATGGTAAAGTGGACGTTAAGCCGTTCCAAGGGACTGAAACTATTTTGGACTGTTTTGCAGAACGAATATTACCAGAGAAGCTATATATATATATTTAAATATACTAGAGAAGATCGGCACGGGTTGGTGCTCAGCTGCCATGTATAATGCATTTTCGGGCAGTTTGAGAGCAAGAAAAAGAAGATCGGGTTTTGAAGTTATCCTATAGGTATTTGTTTGCTAGGCAATGTTCTGTATAAAAATTCTAACCGTTTTAAAGCTTATTCACAGTTTGTTATCCTATATTTTTTAAGGAAGTGTTCAAGCTTTAATTAGCTGCTTGGCAATCTGTTGCATTCGCATTGATGTATGTTATTGGGGTTTGAACATACAAGATGATTGGTGTCACACGTTTGCCTAATTGGGCGCCATGAAAAAGTGGATGATAATAATAATGTTACCTGTTGGTCGGAATAATATACAATCAATGTTCAACTCTATGTCTCAAATCGAGTTAGGCCGACAAAAATACTGCTGGTTTTTTTAGGACTATATACATGATGTGGGCCGCTCGGGATTATTGCCTCACGCTTAGATCTACAGCAAAACGTTTCGAAGCGATGCATATTTAGGCCGGGCTTATTGAATAGTTACCAAGGGAGAAGCAATGGCTGAAGCTAAATACCAGGCATAGATATGTATTTATAAAAGCAAACATCAGACTGTATAGTGAACCGTAGAGTGTATCCTTAAAGATTCGCCTTATCCCCCTTGCTTTTGTATGTATGTGTATTCATGTTGAATTTTTACAGAGCACCTGTCAAGTGTGCCCGACGGCGGCGCCCCGGGAGATCCGAGAAGTTTCTACAGCTCCAACCTACATGGTAGGTAAACCTAGGGCTGTAAATTAATTCTATAGAATAAGCAGCATAAACGTTGAGACTATCCATCAAGCAGGATGTTTCTGTCACGTGCATCAAGCTTTTGTTTACCTTTTCCTCTTTGAAATGTAATATCCAAGATTAGAACTCCTTTGGAATTTCCTCAATGACTCCGTCAAAAGCTTTGTTGGAAAAAACCTAATTAAATTGAACTCGATTTGGAACGTCGTCAAGCTTCGCATCGGCATAATGCAGGCAGAATTACCTGTGTACGATTCAGATTTTAACCATCCGTTAAATACCGCTTAGTGAATAGTCCGTGGATGAATGAAGTTCAAAGGCGCAGTGCCATAGAGCCACATACAGATACGTAAATGTAGATGGGTTTCACGTCGCTGGAGTCCGACACGTCACGCCAAGAATAGTTATCAGCAGGCAAAATACATAAGTAGTAATCGTTGATGGTGCCAATCGAAAAGCGCTTCAGCTTACTGCAAACCATGTCGTCCATTTGCATATAAAAATAATTTGCAATGTTTTGTAACCGCTCATTTTTAATTACCAATATATATATATATATATATATATATACATAAAGCTCGCAATTAGACATTGCCTAAACGCACTGACAGCAGATTTTAAGGGCTCCAGCGAGCAAATACTGCATTCGATCTTTCTCTGCAAACAACGTGTTACAGTGTAGTGTTCTGCTTATGGTATTTACATACGTTTATTTAGCGTGCTCTGACCGTGTCGATCTTATCTCTCAGAACTTCTCTAAGTTGGTTCCAGAAGCTACTTACCCGTATACGTACAACAATGCGGAAATTTTATCATGTTTGAACGAGTAACTATGCTAAGGGGGCGGTGCGTGATCGTCACAGAGGCTTCTTTCTCTACAAGGTTTCTGCTTTGGAGCCCTCTAGCTACGCATTTCCCTGTCTTGCCTTCCTCACCATATTTTGCTGTATGCTTCTCTTTTCAATCTCTTGGTGACCCCGTTCTGCCTTTGCTCTGTTCTCGCCTTGTACTTATCCCTTAACCTGTTGGCCTATTTCCCTCCATTCTTATATGCACGGTCAGGGGTAGGTGTGATATCACTGAAAACCGACCTGGGGCTGCGAGGAAGAAGCGGTTACTCCCATCCCTCAGAGCCCACGCTGACTTAAGGTCCAGTCTTTTTGACTATCACGATCCTAGGTCCGTTAGTGACATCGGCGGCCAGTATCTAAACGCAGGCAACACCTCCCCTGAAACCAATGCCCAACTTTATCCTCGAATCGGCAAAGTTCGGCTTCATTTTCTCGACCCAAATCCCTTATCCAGAACCTCACGCATATCTATGCTGAATTGCAAGCCGAGTGATAAGCAAACCCTTTTTTTTGAGAGTTTGCCTCATCGGGACGATGCGACCGAGCAGCGTTACTTCGATAAGCATTTTCGGGTGAATAGAAGATACGAGAATTGGAATTACAGTGTTTGCCAAATGAGTTCAGTGAAACGTACCGTGGACTTAAGCAACTGAGACAACAATTGTATAGCATGAGTCAGTAGTTCCCCATAATTTGACAGAAACAACAGTAAGCTAGATCAAAATCAATTTCATTTGAGTGTTATGAAATCCAATTTGTAATCGATATTTCTAGTAGCCAAATCGCGTGCCAGAAATAGGAATATGATGCGGGTTTAGCTTTGTTTGTTTATTCAATATGCACATCACGTCCTAACAGCGGAATACGACTAGTTAGGTAGTGAGACCACATGGGCGTGCCGGGTATGTTTATTGCTATCGGCTTGCTTGCCTGCGGCCGTAAGTTTTCTAAATGACAGACGTTACTCAGAGACATTGTCTTACATCATCGTTTTGCGAGTTTATACGGGAACTGTTTACCCGATTTTGACAAGCCAACGACCGTGAAGTAGTTGCTTCTTCCATTTCGATGCTATCTTAGCTTAGCATCCTTGCTGTACAATCGAAGCAATTTGCTGAAAATCAGATATCGAGCCGCCATTTTTTTGTGCACTTCAGCGATCCGAGCACATCGCGTCAGTGATTGAACTAAAAATAAATTTAATAGAAACGATGCGTTGTTGGAAGTCATTGCCACCCTAGATAAGAGTGTTTCCAGCTGCATCGTACTTCGTCCAAACGTCTTTTCTGATAATGGAGGAAAGACGCCCAACAGCGATGGTAACAATCAGATTATAGTTATTAAAAAAAGATACGATATACGAGTAGTAACAATGATAATAAAACTAAATCAAGCTCCCCTATGGCTTTCAATAGAAGCCTGGAAATCTTTCCTGCTGAGGTTCCTCAATGTAATACTACATTCCTCCGATTCGGAAAAAGTCGATGTGTACTTGACAAATCAGACGTTCGCCACGCGATTGGACCTTAGATCCGTTGCGCGATCAGCCCTTCGTTGTAATCTAAGATACGCCATACCGTTATGCGCCTAACTAGTAAAGAAAAGATGTAGCTACAGGATGAACATCGATGCTCGAATGCTATACAGATCGACTAATGCTAACTAAAATGCTCTAGGAACCAACGGGAGAATGTTTACGAATGCACATCTTCACCGTGAATGCATTTTGTGTTTACAGTAGTTACCCATCATCATTAGTAAACCCTAAATTCTGGCGAAGTTTGATAAGTCCAGGCCCTTTTTCAGTGACACGATAATTTTGGGTACGGAAATGATAAATAGAGTTTATTATAGGGCATAAAATTGGATGCCTTTACTTAGATGGAGATAACCATATCTCTTGGACCTTCTCCAAACACAGCCAGCCTTGCCAAATCCATATCCCGGGTTGAAAATCTAATAATATCTGGCAGAAGCTAAAAGACAACTAACAGTCAAACATGGCTATATTAAACGCAAACGTGGTCCATGCGCGCATTAGGTAACAATGACCTGCATGAAGGTGTCTAAACATTTGCATGAGAAAGCAGTAGCAGCACTCTGTACGGGGATAGCGTGTAAACAGGCAGTAATATTATTATATATTCGTTAATTTCATTCATACAACTCTAGTCAGAATTGTACGAAAACCTTTTTCCAACGTTTGCCTTCTATTGGGAGAGTCATATGTAGAAACCAAACCTCGTCATCCATATTATGTATGATTACATAAAATACAAATAAGTAAATTATATGCTATTAGTCCAAAACAGAAGTAGAAGTACTAACTTTCCTGTTACCGATTCCCTCGTTTCGACTAACTTCGTATTGCGTTTATCTCCCTGTCCCGTTATGTTTCGGTCTTGCTCCTTCTCTTTGGAACGGCAACATGCCCGAACGTGTTCGTCGACCTTAAGAGTTTACACGAACGCCGGCGAGGTGTACCAGCGGACCCGTGCTGTGCAGGAGCTGTTCTAGGTGGTTTAATAGGAGTCGGTGGGTCGGGTGGAGGCATTGGGATGGGCGGAAGCGGAGGCACGACCCAGAGTTGCGGCTGCCCTTCCCAGCCCACTTTGCCTCCACCCACGTCGACCACCCTAGCGGCCACAACGACAACAAACACGACTATCACCGCACAGCAAGTGGCGCCGTCAACATCGATACCTATGGTGAAGTATCATTATTATATTTTTTTGAAACGTATGGTTTCTTATTCAAAATTTTCTTTGAGCTAGGGTATATATTTACGATAGAAGAATAGGCTTTGACTAGCTGCACGTATCTTAGGGTGTCACACTAGGTGTCATGAGATTAAAAAGAGATATGGCGTCAAGACCCATTATACAGTGCATTCAAAACTAAAGGCAATTTGAACTAACGAATAAACTCTATAATAAAGACGTGATATGAATATTAGTTTTTTCATTACTGTTGTCAAAGGCAAATAGAAATAAATCAGCATATGATCGTGGAATGGAAGTGATGGGCTATTTTTACTGCAGGCCACGGTGTTAGGCATCGCCTATGGCAATAGGCTTAGAGTGATTTGGTCATCGCTGGGTTTTGTAACCTGTCATAGATAAAAAAAAAAAACGAAGTATGAAAAATTATTCATAACACAGTCAACTGGCCTGAGGATAAAGGCAAAATAGGTTGCTACTTCTGACCTAGGTCACCGTAATCACAAAAAATAATATATACATAATTTGCCTCCTGACTTCTCAACGTTCTTATTCACAACTTTATCTACATAAACGAATTAGGCTATTTACTATCCGGAATGTATTTCGTTGGATGTTACGAAGTTTTTCCATGGAGTGGTAACATTATAACTCCTTCCAATCAATGCAGTGGCTGTGTCTTAGTGGCACGACTCTCATTAAAAGCTTTAGAGAGGCACAGGATAAAATAGGCTCATTAAGCTGCATTAGTTCTGGCCTCTGCCTTTTCTACTTACTGCTTTCTCTGAATAACATCAGCGAACTTAGTCAGGTCATAATCACCGGTCCATAGAGGAGCATTTTAATGGAGTTATAATATGCGGAAAGTCACATGGGTTAAGTGGTCTTGCGGGCAAATACGAGTTGCGGTTGTAAAAACTGCCCCACCATTTGCGGCGTATTGTAAGTCTTAAGCATCGACGAGCCGACTTAGGGCGACGCTTTCTGAAGCAAGGTAGGCCTGAAACGCGCTTGCTAGAAAATCGACGCTGGGATCATTAGCAGCATTTCCTTGCTACCAACAAACTTTCCGTAAAAGAACGGCGAGGCAGTACCGTAAAGCGGAAAATTATTCAACTTCGAAGTGGACTTCGGTATATGTACCTTTGTCAGGAGCAGAAGATGAACATCGTGTCGTCTTTCTTACCCTCCGATGTCAAAGTAGATTTAGTGAGTTCCGCAGTAGCGGACGGGATTTGGTTGAAGACAACTGGGGGTGCTGGACCTCTTGCGTTGTCGGGCACCATCGGGTGTCTTACCGTTACCATGCGGTAGTGTCTAGGGATGGTAGGATGCAGTAGAGTTGTGCGCGCCTGAACTCTAGTTTCGCTGTGATACCGGGCCGAATTAGCATAGTGTTTATGCGATGTGGCCCTGTGCATTGTCGCTACCGACTTACCCGCTTTTTCGAGTGGCCTTCGGCGTTATGCGGTGGCAACCGCAGAGAGTTTGAAGAGGGCGTTTAGCTATTTCCCTGCTAGTCACTCATCCGCAGGAAGCCGTCTCCCAGCTGTGTATAAAATCAACAAACTTTTGGAGGGACAGGCCGAGTCAAAACCATTTCCAGACGCAGCTTCTTTATGGCAACCCCGCAATGCGAGAACGCGGGCAAAAGATGCGCGAACTTTTTTAAACCTGCCAAGACTTTTATTCTGTGAACAAACGTTACCCGCTACGCTCCCTGTATCTGTAGACGGCAAAACCCGGGGATACTCCGCGGCGCATTCACAAGGTGCGCTCCCAAATATGAATTTATGTGATGAACACACGGTATCATGGTACCATAGTAATTGCGCCTTCTGTAAAACGAGGAAAATACGGAACGATGTATTTGTACAAGCGAAGTAGTACTCATACCAGTAAAATTCGGATAAGCTAAATATTATCTTCAAGGCTTATTCATATAGACTTTTTTTCCGAACGCTACTCTGTTTGGAGGGCAGCCATTTAGCTAGCATTAGAGGGCCTGCAAGCTTTCTGCGGTCGCCAGATCCTATCAGACCCGTATGAACTGGCATGAAACATTCTACTTGAATCGGATTATTTGAGAAAAGTACACGTGGCCGCAAGGTAAGTAAAAGATATCAAAAGAAGAGGAGAGGTCGTAGAAATGCACTCGACGAGGTCAGTATCCGAAAAAGAAGCCTGAAACATTAAGTACGCTGAATATAATATCGTCCTCAGACTTGCTAATAGTTGTTGGAACGAAGCGAGCCTACATAGGCCTGCTGGAAGACTCTGCGTGATTTGATGTAGGAATTATCAAAGGGCAACTTAAAACTGAGACGGACCTAGCTGTTGTCGTAACACGCAGTTAAAGTGATAAAACTATTAGAATATATAGAACAGTCAAATTATATATATCGGAAAATGTGATGTGGCTATAAAATCCAGACGAATTTCACTGATTTCTTATCCCCCCCCCCCCCCTATGATTTCAAGGATGTTAGCGTAGGACAACAACACTTTTTTTTTATTGTCCAAAACGTTTCAATACTGTGTGTGCTACTGGGCACATTAATCGCCATTCTGCACACTTCTCACTTACCGACAATGATTAACACACCGTGTATTGGATTTTTTTTTAGAAAAACGTTATTCTTCACTCATTTAGGCCCATCAATTTCGTTTCCTGATTATAGCCATACACTATTAAAACGTTATTTCGAATCGGCTTGTTGCATCCTTACAACCCAACGAGTTCATTACAAAGAACAGTTGCTTAACTTTCGATTCGAAAAAAACAAACAATCGTGCACAAGTCACGCCAAATGCATAATTCTTCAATGCAGTGCTCGTATGCCAGAGGCACCAAACCCATACCCAAGGATGGTCCGCTTTAATGTGGTTATGATACATGGCACCATAACATGGCCGTAAGGGCTACCATCCTCTTCCCTTACCCTGTATCCCGCGTAAAGCCGCCGAAGCACGTACATAAATATATAGACTGTAACAGAAACCGTTAGACAGAGACTCTCGAGTTCCAGAGTTCAGTATTTCATTACAGTATCATTATCTGTATTCAGCTAATGGTTTTAGCCGCTCTCGCCTGTATACAAGTGCGTTTTCCTTTCTCAGTCTTGTCTCAGTGAGAAGCGCAGTTGTCCAACCGATTCCTTTGCCGCGAAAAGCTCAGTTGAACCAAGTAGCCGATACGTTCCACACGAGGCGCAAGTGGAGCCAACAACCTTGAATCCCTGCAGTTTCTCACGATCGTTCATGAGTCTGCCACGACGTGTAGCGGCGGTCTTGAATGTTATACCCAAAACATTAATTTCCCCCGCGCGGCGCTCGTGCGCCACTCACATCGTACCTTGGTCGACTCTGCGGTCGACTGGAGTCTCTTTCCCAAGAAAGTTACAGGGCGTGCATTGGGGAAACAACGGATCGTACTAACTTTCCATCGCGGCAAATGGCTTATGTTTGATGACAGAGTGACTGACATTCTAGCCCTTTCATATATGTCACTGCGCTCAGCGCTTCCAAGAAAAGGGGAGAGCTTTCCAAGGCAAAGTAGCTGACCATCACGGTAATTTAAAGGTTAGAACCTTTTTGCCCTTAGACTGTAGGGGGCTTTAATCCTTTTATGGCTGACCAACAAAAGGCTGTTAGCAGTCACCACAGGATAAACGTGTGCGGCAATCTCTCAGAAAACTGCAGGAAGGCTGTAGTCACTGTTTAGCCTAATTGCATTAGCAATCAAATAAAGGTAGTATAGAAAAGTTTCGTCGTTGTTAACGCGTCCATAAAAGCTGCAAATGCTGCTTTGATGCTGCTGCTTGAAATGCAATGCGGTATTTGAGTATGATAAGCCTTTTTAAATCCACAAAGAGCCTTCCATTGAGGTTATATTATAAGTCCGATAAGTCGCTTGATGACTTCATCCTTAGAGTATTCCTTGAGAAGCGCGAATGCGTCGTAAGCAAAAATAATCTTTGATCTAGCCAGCGAGACGATTATTGCCTTCTCTAGCAGGGATCACATCTCTTCCTGCATTTCACCGATGACCGTCTCAGATAGTCTTACTTTGTGGGGCTCCATTTGGGCATGGGCCAAGAACATATACATTCTTAATTCACCTATTTTCTTGAAAATTATAATATAATATTTTGTCAGCTTTCTATGGGACAAATGGTAGAAGGAAACATTACTAGGATTCACTTACCTCTTGTAGCAACGGTTGCTCCTAATACCTGCGTTAAATAAGCTCTGACTCGTACTATTCCACAAGCCCCTAAGAGTTTCCGCAGAAGGCACCCCCATATAACTAACAATTAGCTCAAGGAGCAACTTGACAACATTGCCGGCCTAAGACACGTTAAAAAACAATACAATGCGAGGGAGGGTACGATCTGGTTATATATTTTGATATATATATGTATCTACCCCTTCGCCGGGAGCGAAGACTTTCCAGTCTTGTTTCCAGTAATATTCTTCGGTGCGGAAGTTTTGTCAAATCGTCTCCATCAAAGGGGTGAGGGTCTTCAGGTTTTCAAGGGAGGTTTCATAGGCACTCCTTACACATCTAGAGAGATTTCTTATCTTTAATAGGCCCTTGTTTCCATGGTGTTGATCCACGCTGTTGGTCGATTGTAATCGAATCAAGATGATTCCGCGGATTCCGTGATAAGCTCTGTTGTTACAGTGTTTATAACTCTCTAGTACTTACATTGCTTTACCAACTTCCAAACTCATAATTATTCGGTGGCCGTAGCACATTAAAAGGCAGTGAAACATGCTTATGTTTATATCAACGTAGAGTCTTTGGGGAACACAGCTATGTAGAATTTTTCGCAATGGTCATCTTAAGTATGCATTTGGTCCACATAGCATCCATTATATACATGTGCAATAGGATGGGTACATTTGGAAGCTCAGAACAACGTTTGTCAAATGACTTCGTGATATTTTCACGCAAAAATATTGTGCCGAACGTTGGAAGTTGTTAAGCAAGGTAACGTTGCACAACTTATTTCATTGGGTAAGTACTTTACTAATTTTGGTCGCACCCCTCCTTATGATGTTCTGGTTATGCACTGTGGACAAGAAGCTTCGTGCATTTTTACACAGTTCGTTTTGAATATACCGAGCTGGGTGGTTATGTTTTAAATAGAATCACCTATTTACTTTCATTATTCAACAGTGTAGGCACATTGCAGCTCGTAATGGTGCTTTGTGCCCTTGAGTCTCGCCCGTAGTTTTCTAACCGTGTGACTTTTACTTCACGTTCACGTAACGTACGCAAAAGGGCAGAGGATTATTTCTAAATGGCTTCGTCTCTACCCCCTGCGCCGCTAGTGCCCCGTACGTTACGTTAGGCGCTGCATCACCTTTTATCAAGCCTGAAAATGCTTTGAAAAAAAAAGGTTGCAATTTATACGAGTATGCAGTTACATCTATAGAGTTTAGATAACCGAGTTAAGAGTCCAGCCGGGTCGAAATAATGGAGTCATCTGCAATAAAGCTTACTGCAAACTGAAAGCTTGCACTACACGGAGCTTTCTTTGAAGCGAGTTTCAATATGAATCTACTAGACACGACTTAGCAGTTCATTGCAATACGAATAATAACTGTACAGCTCGGAGACGCAAACCTCCAGGACCTTTTTTCTTATTATTACCAGGCTGTATCCGTTCAAAGACTTTAGCGCCGGAACATGGGCAATCCATGCTTTTTATTGAAAAATAAATTGAGACGCTGACTAAACTCTATTTTTCACGCGAATTATTAGTTTGCAGTGAACGGAATGATCTTTTGAATGCAGCTAGGTCCGAACCTACTGGGGCCAATATACCAGCCCTCGAAGATGTGGCGTCGCACGAGATATTCATGCAAAGCGAATATCTATTGTCTATGCCCCCTATGTTCACTAAGCTGATCTGTAGAAGTTATGGGCGTAATCTGAGCGCGATGCATGGCGACTCTACACAGTTGAAAAGTTGATTCCGATGCGAAATGTCCCTCCAAAAACCCTGCTGTTTAGGGAAGAACTAAACTATACACGCTAGCCCAACAGTCGGCATCCGACATCACTTGTCCCCACGTCGCCAAGAGACGTAAATACCGCCGAGATTGCGTTATCTGACCCAAGTTCACGTCGATATTTCTTATACATCTAAAGGAACACTGTACACATCTTATTATTTCCTCCACCTGAAGGCGTACCCAGATAATTTTTAGAACTGATCGACGACATAGGACATTTGAGATTTTATCTTAGTTGGAGAATCATTTTAATGGTTTACCATATTGAATACCACACCTGTTCCACCCGTATCTGCTCACGTGTATAATATTCATTTTCTATGTTACTGTCTGCGTTCAGTAATAATACCGAATCTTTAAGTCCCTGCAAAACCCCACGACTCATTTCCCACAGGCCGTTTCACTACGATGAAGAAAACCAGTCAGCGCGCCCCCGCGCAATGGAACTCACTGTATTTAGGATCGTGTATAAACTGGATGAATTCTAGAAAAGGTGTAGACATGGGGCGACTTGAAATATGGTTCCAAGGGAGCACGAAACGGAAATAAATCGAAGCAAAATTTGCCTGTCTGAGTCAGCCGTTTCCTGCTATCTTGCTCTTGGCACCAGATTGCATTTTAGGTGTAAGGGGCGGGCATGATTTTTGACGGTACACGGTTTTCAGTACAAAACCCTACGAATGGGTGATACCAAGAAAAGCTTCTCCTCGTGACCCTCCGGTGGGGTCGGTTTGTTGCAGTAAGTTCGGAAATAATTCTTTTAGCCAGTATTGGTGGTTCTAAAAGTATCAAAGTTTCCTTCTCGCTGACTGACTGTTAGGGAACTGCCGCTGAGTGCATCCTATAAACTGGCCTTGTTGTTCTTGAATTCCGCTTTGTATCCAGATCTTGCTTTTTTGCTGGGTCGGAGAAGAATCTGTTAACAGCTTTAAATACAACGAATTTCCGTAAATATTCTCATACAATACCACTGGTGCTTCTTAAAAAGCTATTAATTAGGATAGATCTCGCCTTTATAGAACAATCAACCATGCAATGTACCAATGTACAGGAGCACTTAAGCGGCTTTGGAGGTAACTGTTGTTAACGACCAACGTTGACGGAACTCAAAAACACATAACGACTCCTAGGTACGTCTACTTTGAGACGACTTCTTAGCCTTCAAGAGGCAGAGTACTTGACGAAAGGTACACGTTGGAGGAACAGCTTGCAAACGATATGCAACGATATGTATATACAGTGAGAAGGGAGGAGAGGAAAGAAGGAAACCCGACAAAAATGAAACCGAATGATCTATCATTGTTAGACGATCGAGTCTCTTCTAAAAATGCTACATTTTTGTAGGGAGACTTTTCCGTTACCACCTATGGGTTCAGTCTCATTCATATATATTGTAAACTGTGGTTTTGCTTTATGTACGTACATGCATTCTTCCCGGAACGTCAACACGGCCCTGTTTTGGGATTGACTTCTGAGTATTGCCCCGTTACTTGAACAAACTATTTCTGCTTGTAGTGTATCTTACTGATTTCGGTATCAAGGGGTAGTAAAGCTGGAAGAAGTAAGACGACAACGTATAGAAAATAGTGCAGCATAAGGATAATTGTGCACTTTTACAGAAGGAAATTAACAAATGAAGCCTTTTTTGCTTTGGATACTTCTAAAAATGCGTTGGTGGAATCAAGATTTTTCGCGGAGCTTTCAGTTGATCCTATTGTTAAAACGCGACAGGGAATTATTTTTGATCCTGCCATCGATCACAGACGTATTTTGAGTTAAGCCATATAAAACGTTAAGTAACAGAGAAGGCATATATGAAAATGTAGCCTTGTGTCGCCGTATTTCTTGATAAATACCATATCTATTAGAGTATGTGTCTTCAGCGTGTCTATCTAGGGATCAAAAAACACCCAACCTGTGAGAGCTTTTATGTAAAACAATAAATAATTATGAAGATCACTAAATAGAGTTCTTCTTTGCAGTATCCAGGTATCTTCCTCAACGAATTAATACTGAAACTTGATGTTGCATCGGATCTTAGAAGCGGTCAAGTAATGTTAAAATGAATTACTATTTGCTTATTAAATTAAATTAAAATTAGGAAATTCTCTAACAGAACGACATTGTACTTCTGTGTGAAAGAGGAATGCTACACTGAGGCGTAAAAATATCGTTACTAATAAACGTATCTAACGATCATCTTTTTCATCTACACCTACGTCTTTCTTGTCTTCAATAAAATGTCGGCCCTTAAAAAGTTACGTTAATTTTCTGGTTGAAAGAACGGGTGGATGCTTGATGTCGCATTCATTTAAAAAAAAAATTTCAAAATTCATATCAGGACAAAGAAGTTAACAGTAAAACATCTTCAGTTAATATCTTCCAGAATTAGTTTGTTATTACTATCAACAGTAATCGACTTGAACAAGTCGGTTTTCTATTAAGGACCACTAACTTTAGTTGAGACATTAAGTTTCTATCTTGGCAATCAGCACTAATGCAGAGCATTAGCTTTCGTAGAGAACTTACGCAAATTTCCGCGTGAACTACGAAATCAGATGCTTATCACGTTCCGTCACTTTCCATCTATTGTGTTCGGTATGTTGACTGTAATTCGAGGACATTGTTCTTTTCGCCCTCTGAAGTTCTGTCTGTTTCTCGTTATCTCTATTCCTTTTTAGGAGGTTCGTCTACGAATGATTGATTCGAAAGGGAGCGGACTAGGTCTGCTGCACAGAACGACGTCCTCGTTGGAGAACGCCTTATCGCAACCTCCCCCAACTGCCGGCTTATCAATCAGCCTAGGAAATTTGTCGACTGCGCCTGGCAGTGTCGGGCACGGGACGGCATTGCTTCAAGAGCCGATGTCCGACTCGCTAGAGACAGCTTTCTTCAAAAATCCGAATAAATTGTTCGGAGTGTCTCCATCGGATATCGACAAGTATTCGCGAGTCGTATTTCCCGTTTGCTTTGTCTGCTTCAACCTAATGTACTGGATCATCTATTTACATATTAGTGATGTTCTACCGCAGGACCTCGTACCGGATGACGCATCACGGCGGTGAAACGTACCTAACGCGGTGCATCGTCATGGAATCTAAGCAAAAACCTATACAGCTTTACGTTGCTTGCAAGCTCATACACACAGCCTCTCTCCTTATCGATGCTGATGTCGCCATTGTAGCGATCCGGAGACTAACGCGCCGAATACGATACCGTTTGCTACGGCAGGCAAAATCAACAGCTAATAACTACTACTGAAAAATGGCATAGACTGGATAGTAGCTGATCTAGCTCGAGAGACAGCGCCATAATCAATTATATCACAGTCAACCTACCTAATTATATGCAAAGCTGAAAATAACAACGTACGATTTTGTCGGGCAGCAAGCGAATGAACCAATAACAAAATAGCAACAGCACGAAGGGAGCATGAAGCACCAAATTGTAGGAGTTAGAAGAACGGGAATGAAATATTATACAGTAACCAAGTTTCCGCCTCTGCCGCTCGTAGCTAGGTCTCCATGAAAACAAGCATCTTGAGCTAACACGCTGAGCTACATCTCAGATCAGACCTGTAGAAACGGAAATCTCTACCGAAAATTCTATCGTCGACGGAGAAAATCAAGCACGTGTTGTTTTTGTCGTTATTACGCCTGTGGCACCGACAAACAAACGGACTAAGCGGCCAGATCCATAGCTCTGTATTCGGAAAAAGATCGTACAACACACGCAAGTAATGAACTAGTAGAGGAAACAACAACTGGCCGACCCATACGTTCCGGCTGAACAGTGATCGTTTTCTATTGAATGATACCAGGTAGTTAAGCGCGAGCAATCGATAGTGGTGATAACAATGATTATCAACAGAATGTTTAAACGCTGATTAGTGTCCTTACATCGGTCACCCGGTTGGCTGAGATAAAGCCATCACGAGGTTGTCCTAAAAGACAGTGGCCACTACTTTCGAGACAACACTGAATATTATTATAAGCCTAAAAGTACACAATAGACGAGATGAAATCAAAGAATATACTGATACTTGGTATCAAACGAATCGATGTAAGAGGCTCATTAATCAATAAGTCAGAATGACGATGATGGAGAAAAAACAAACGAAACCTTAGGGTACGAGGCATCACAAGTGCCTCGAATGCATGCTGATTCATTCAGAAGAAGCAGGCTGAATGCAAAGTTAAGTGCTAAGGTAAACTAATGAAAGGTTTGCAGCGGAAGCCATCATTACATAAGACAGCAGCGAACCCACTGCTCTGATTCTCTACTACCCCTCTTCCACAGGCTTCGCATAGATGAGAAACCGAAGGAAAGAAAACGAACGGAAAAATGAATCTGGTAAGAATATTAATAGATAACTGGAAAGAGACAATTATATCAATATATTAATTAATACTAACCGTTATTCGTTTGTATAAGATCATAACGTAAGGTCTAAACGATTATGAGTATTACTGTTATTAGGATTATAAGGTTAATATGTTTATTATTATTAAGTAGTAGTAGTACTTGAAGTAGTAGTAGTAGTTGAAGTAGTAGTAGTAGTAGTGGTAGTAGTAGTAGTAGTAGTAGTAGTAGTAGTAGTAGTAGTAGTAGTAGTAGTAGTAGTAGTAGTAGTAGTAGTAGTAGTAGTAGTAGTAGTAGTAGTAGTAGTAGTAGTAGTAGTAGTAGTAGTAGTAGTAGTAGTAGTAGTAGTAGTAGTAGTAGTAGTAGTAGTAGTAGTAGTAGTAGTAGTAGTAGTAGTAGTAGTAGTAGTAGTAGTAGTAGTAGTAGTAGTAGTAGTAGTAGTAGTAGTAGTAGTAGTAGTAGTAGTAGTAGTAGTAGTAGTAGTAGTAGTAGTAGTAGTAGTAGTGGTGGTAGTGGTGGTAGTGGTAGTGGTAGTAGTAGTTACTGTGGCCTTTCGTTGCTTACGGCAAAACTACCCTCCAATAATAACGATCGTAGCGAAACGCGATAACGACGACAATGCAAATAATGATCATGACCGTGTTGTTGCTACTGCCACCATGAATACTGCTGTCACAATGCTTATTGTTGTTGTCGTTGTGGTCGTCGTCGTCTTCACGATCCTCGCCGTCATCGGCTTCGTGGTCGGTCAGTGTATTTGTATTGTCGATCCTGGTTATTACTGCCGTTGCTGCGACACCTTGCTGCCGCTTGGTCATGGTGATGATGATCGTTGTGATCATTATGGTGATACTGATGACACCCCTTTAGAAAAAGGAATCTTCTACTTCGTCGTCGCCGTCTGCTTGTCTGCGCACCACAGTGTGCGGTGTTCATATTCAAGTCGTTCCGTGTGGACTATTTTTTTTGAGAGAGCAGCGCATATCCACTGCTTCGAAGCCGGCGGCGGCAGCAGCAGCAGCGGCGGAAGAATTGCCGTCGCCACATCCGTCCTCACCGTCAGATATCGGCCATACCGCGACGGGTAGCCGCTGCCGATTTGCCACGATAGCAGCAACTATTAGCCACCGTCACCGCCCAGAAACGAAAGATAGGCCACCAGAATAACAACAACGGCAGCAGTCGCGACTGTTTCCGTCGCCGCTGCAACCCATCTGGCAGCGGAACAACAGACAGCGTCAGCAGCAGCGTCAAGACGAGCGCAGGCAATATCGTACACAAACGCAATATCGCCATGATAATGTCTACAGAGAGGCGGAGAGACGGACAAAAAAGGATGCCAGGTAGATGAAAAGGCACTAGCGTCAATCACAAACTAAAAAAGGGGCACCCCGCCCCGTTTCTCTCGTTACATCGATAGCGAGTGCCACAGCAGCAGCAATAGCGATGATGGAGCTGACGCTCATAGCGATGCGCTTTTCGACGCGCCGTGTTCGGCGTTCATTTGACGACGACACCAACAACAGCGGCGACAACGATAACAAGTGCTGATTGTTCTGGTATTGTGTTGTATCTATTGGCGTTTCCTCGACATTGTCGTTTTTATAACGTTGCTCTCTTGTTCATCCTCAACATCGGCATAACCCTCACGATGCATCTGAGTAATGGCGTATTGCTGAGCTGCAACAATGCGATGGCAGCATCTGCTGCAGTGGTGCTTACGGCCAACTGGCCTGGAGAAAGTAGATTGTGCCGCATACGCAAATGTAACAACGAAAGCTGGCTTGCCACATGCATAAACTTTCACTATTTGTTGCCGCTGTTCTTATGTTTACTGTTTATTTTGCCCATAACCGCTTTCTATATCATCTCTACGTATGAATCTTCTAACATACCTGTATACTCCATGTGACACCGTGTTGTGCTATTATAGCCTATATTTTGACGGCCGTTTATTTACAGATAGCACCGATTATAATATA